CAGATTAACGACCGTTGATCCTTCATTGATTGTAGTACTGATATTATGAGTAGGAGAGGTCACTGATGATACAGTGTCATTGTTTGACACTCTTAATGTAAACTGTGATATTGCTGGACCTGTTCCACTGCTACCACCAGTAGCAGGGATAGGAGCTAATGGGTCAGTAGAACCAGATGGTGTGTAACGAGGCTTCAAAACACTTGGTAATGAGAATCTAACCGACTCTCCTTCCAGTGGTAACTCTTCTACTAGCTTGAGTATTAATACTGCTTCTCCTTTAGGTGGTAGGTTACCAAGAGAGAGGCTGAATATGTCTTGTGTCTTCTCTTCACCGATTGCAGCAGTCATTCCAGATGCTATGGCATCATCATAATTAGCTCGTGCTTCTTCCTTCTCTTGTACCTATCAATTAATATTATAATTAATTATAATGAACGTAACTAAGCCAGTAGTAGTTCACAATAAATACAATAACACTAATGCTGGATTCTCTGTTCAGTTTTAATTGTAATGAGCATTTTGTTTTATAGACCCCCTAGGCGCTAAGACTATTTTCAATGAATATGATTACAATAATGATATTCATTCATAATAAATAAAATTTTCTTATATGGTATCCACCCACGATGTTAATTACTGATGGCAAGAAGGCCTCGAGATCAAAAGAAAATCAAAGGCGGTGACACCGCCTGGCCATTTTTCTGAGCGCTACAAGGTACTACAGGCTTACAAGCAGCATTTATGGAAAGTATGGAGGCCAGACTACATCATATAGACCAGGTAACTCTTGCTGCAACATAGTTTTCTTGCTATGCTTCATTTCGGCAACTTGGGCTTTGATCTGCCTTTGATGTGGAGAGCTTCTTGCCGTCAGTAATTTTAATCGTGGGTGGCTACCATAAATAATTCATACAAAATAGTCTTAGCGCCTAGGGGGTCTATAATGCATCAAGGGTCAAATTTTGATCATGAAGTGACACAAGCCATTATGCTATACGCAAGGTTGGATCATGTGACATAAAGTCTAGCTACAGTGTCTTTGGCTTACCACTCCACATATTGTCCTTCCAGCAATCTTTGCTTCCAGACCAACTACAGCCACACCCTCATCCACAGGGAAACGAAAAGACACTTCCAGAGGATCATCAGAGCCGTTACGATAAGTAAGAGTGGCTTCCAAACTCGCTACATATCCTTTGATCTCTCCTGAGATTCCTACACTCTCCAGTGGAATCCTAACGTCTTTTCCAGGGACAAGAAGACCAAATGGTGACTTCTTCGACATTTTTTATAGACCTCTTCAGGTGAGATTGACGATGGCCTATGAATATCATTACTGTTTATTACGGTATCCACCTATGGTGATGATTGGCCGCCATTTTGGACGGCAAGATTCAATGGAGGATGAATGGAGAAAAATCAAAACTGATTTTTTTCGCTGGCATGGAGCTTTTTCAAGCTACAAAAGCTGGTTGGAGGAAAGAATGGTCGCTGCTAAGCATCTCCTAAAAGGGATTTGGTGCAATATGAAGCATATTCTTTACTACAGCTTGCTTTCTGCATTATCCCATTCATACTCCATAGAAAGTTGCCGTCCACGAAAATTATTTCAGAGTCAGCTAGGCCCAGTCACGCCCCTTGCCGTATATCATTCTTTGACGTAATTCATTCTCACCCAAAGAGGTCTATAGGGGATAATGAAATTGCTAGCAATTTCATTATCCCCTATAAAAAATGCATGCTTGTGAATTCGACCCCACCCTAAATGCAGAGTCACTGTCACACCCCTAGTTGCAATTATGTCTTCTGACTACGAGTATCACTCTTGCTATCACTATGGTCTTTTGGTTCAAGGTCGAGGAAGAAGGGGATCCT